AAATCTTCCAACCACTTCAGTCCCGAGACATCTGAAGGATACTTGACTGGAAACTTCACTTCAGTGTTTAGCTCACACAAAATGTAAATAACATCTTCCAGGGCCCTTAAATCCAATGACAGTTAAGTACATTTTGTTTTAAAATGACAACACACTGTTCTAAGCTGGCATGCCTTATCCATTTGGCTTGTCAGCTTTCTCCCAGCCTTCCAAATTTATCTGAACTGAAGAAACCAGTTCCAACCAGAATTTCAGTAAAAATGCTAATTACAAAGAATCTGAAACTGATTTCAATGCAAACTTCATTGAATATATTACAATTAATTTCTAAGTAAGCATTCATAATTGGGATAAAATACCGAATTTTAAAGATTTACATGGCCACCCATCTTAACCAATATCTAGCTTCCAGTATGGCAAAGAGAGAATTGTTATATTTAAGTTTCCTTCAGATTCTGATTGCTAGAGTGACACATTACAGCAAAAGGCAGAAATGGCTTCATCCCCAATCCAAGATTTATTGTGTTTAACTGAGCTCTACTGGACTTTTAAAAACAATCAAGAATAATCTTTTGAGTATTTTCTTTGGGTTTTTTTTGTTTGTTATTACTATTAATTGGTATTTCCTCAAAGACTAGTTGGCCAGTTTATATAAACACTTTAAATGCATATTGCATAAGTCTCTGCTTTTCAATCTGTTCCGACCTCTACAAGCGAACCGGAAGGGAAAAAATACTTTTTTTTTGCTGCTGTAGAAAGTGGAACTATTGTAATTATGCATTTCTGGAGCCAACTAGGTTTGCGGTATCCTTTAAAATTTACAATTCAAGTGAATTTTAGGTTGTATGCAAGAACTTCACACACGTGGGTCAGCGAAGAAGCTCACAGCAGCCATTAGTGAAACTAGCGTTAACAAGCAGTTCTAATAACTCAGCAAAAATCATCTTCGGGAGCCGTTAATAGACCTGACAGCATAAAAAAAAACAACAACAACAGACCAAAAGGAGAAACAGAAGACACCCAAGCTTAAACTGAAGACTGCAAACTGCCAACTCGGAGAGGAACGGCGGCGACTACTTCGATTTCTGCAAAGGCTCGCTCGCAAGCACCGGCAGTCTATTGAGTCATCAGTATCATCCGTTGCAACAAGGACAGCTCGGCTTCCGGGAGATTAGGAGTCTCTAGTGCATGTATACAACAGCAGCCAGATACACACACCCAAACTGGCAGAAACCTGTTCTGCCCGGATCGGCTGTAGCTGTAGCGGCGGCAGCAGCAGCACGAGCTTGAACCTGGGGAAAGAAGCTCGCGCCGCCGCGAAGGCAAGAGCGCGCACTGGGGCTCGCGCCCGGGAACCCTTATGCCAAAGCAGGTCGACCGCTAGGGGGCGCTACCCGAGTCCGGGGGGGGGGGAACCTGCCCCAGCAATTAAGATGACGCTTCTTTAAAAGCTGTGAGGGCCAAATGCAAACTCTATAAAGTACACGCGTCCCAAAGAAAGCCGTGGGGCTGCGTCAACTCTCCAGCCGGTCAGCGTGACTGCAGTGTACCAATTTGGCGCGATTTTTTTTTTGGTTTGGTTAGTTTCGTTCGCCGCGCACGCGACTGTTTCACGCGAGGCTTTTTGCCCTGGAAATGTAGTGGTCACGCCAGGAATTTGCAACTGCGAAGCTACAAAGAACTACTTGGGTGCCAAGTGGTACCCAGACTTTGGTCTGAGCACCAGCCGAGTCCACTCGGACGGCTTCGTTGCTTTTTCAGTTTCTTGGTCTGGATCATGTTTGCACCTTGGGACTCAATGATTAAAAGTCCACGCCTCCTCTCTTTTGAACGGCTTCTTTGCGGGGAGGGGGGGTGGTATTTAGCAAATCTTGCCATTTCTCCTTCGTTGAAAAAGATGCCGATGGTGGCTGGCTGGCTGGCGGGCGAGCCCGAGGAGGAAGAAATTCACGCGGATGCCTTCCGCAAGACGAAACTCGGCGCTCCCTGCGGCAATTTACCTTAGCTGACCTTCCTGCGAATGAGGGGCTGAGCTAGATTTAAGCGAGAGGCTCCCCCGCCGTCGCCCGCGTTTATAATCCCCGCGTTAATACGCGAAGGGAATTTCCCCTTGTTGCTCTCACCCACCCGCCACATACGACCCCCGCAAATTCACGTGCTGATGAAGACACTGGAGCGGAAACCATGCAAAAGAGTGGGGGGGGGGGAGGCGGGAGATGGTATCTTTAACAGTACAGAGAATTGTTGGGAAAGAGCGGGTCGAACTTACTAGGAAAGGCTCTCCTGCTGGAGGCAGGGGAGGAAAAAAAAAGACGGAAAGACTGCAGTCTTGGGAAGCGAGGAGTCTCACGCGAGGGATTTCCTCCAACCGAGATGGGCTCTTCGGGGATGAGCTAAACTAGGGACTCCCAAGCGGCGCAGCGAAGCTTCCTTTTGCATGAAGATGCTCAGCCTCTATGAAATGGGAGGCGGGTGGGGGAGGGGGGGAGTTCACTTAGTGCATTTTTTAGAATATACATGACAAGCGGGGAAATGGTTTGTCGACCTCTACCTGCCGCTGCTTCTTAAAAGAGGAACTTAACAAGGGGGAAAAAAAAAAGAGGGACAGGGAAAGTCTCTTTAATAACCGCGCGTCTGGGCTGCGGCTTAGGCGAATTACATCAGTTTTATGGCATTATGAGGAAAGAGGGGAAGGTGTCACGAAGGGAAGCAAACGTGGCAGAGTCCGACCGCTCTCCAAATAAAACTCGTCCACCCCATCCCACTGCACCCTTCCCTTGGGTTTGTCGCCTCCTCTCCCAACGTTACTCGTTCAGGTCGCGGCTCCTTGCGGCCGCCCGGCGCGCGCTTCCTTCTAGAGCGCGCGGAAGCCGGCCCGCCCGCTACCTCGCCCGCTCGCTCGCTCTTCAGCTGCTGCAATTGCAATTGCAAAACCGGGTTCCGGCGCGCACATGGCGCTGCTGAGTTACAGCGCGCGCCAGATCCGCCGGTAGAGACCGGCTTGAGCCGGTATATAAAAAAAGCGGAGCTGATGTGGTGTGAACCAGAAGAGACGGCAGCATTTGCTAAAAAAGGAGCGGGGAGGGCGTGCGTAGGAAGGCGAGAGAGATTGCTAAGAGTCGAGCCGAGGGCAGAAATCCCCCCCCCCGAAAAAAGAAAAAAACTCGGGAGCGAAGGACGCGCCGGCTGGCCATGGGGCAGCCTTGGCACCAGCAGCGGGAGCCTAGCATCGGATAACGAGCCAGACTCCCGGCCGCTTTTTCCCGACGAAGGGGGGGGTCTATTTTAGGAGTAGGGCAGGCTCCACCTTTCCCAAAGGGGGTCAGGAGTATAAGTCTGAAGCGACTGCAGCCCCCTTCCCGCGCCTTCTGGAGCGGGGTCTTTGGTTCGCGCTACTGAGGGCGAAGGGTCGGGTGTTCCAGCCGCTGCTTCAGCATGTTGCTGACCAGGTCATAGGCCAAAGGTGCTCCTCTCTGCAGCTTGGGGGGAAATCCTTTTTCTTCCACATCTTTCTCTCCCCAAGTTGCAGCAGCAATATCTTCTGACCTGGTAAGTGACTTTTCTTCTGGGCACAAGTTTGGTTGTCTTGCTGTCGCTTTTTTTTTTTTTAAACTGTTACCTATTGTTTTAATCGGAAAGAGCATCCGCCTCTCTGAAAAAAAGGGGAGAGCAAAGAATCCGATTGGAAAAATAAAGCGTAACTGTGCCTTGAAGGTTGCACAAGAGATGAAGATACACTCCTGGGCCCTCGTGCGAGTGCTCCCTTCCCACGCTCTACATACATCGCGTGGACTGGGAGCGGGCAACGGAGGGGTTGCTCTTCCATTGGGAAGAAAACATTTAAAAGAAAAACCTTGCTTATAAAATAGGTCTCTCTCCCCCCTCTGTTTTTAAAGGGGAAAAAAAGCTTTGTATGGCGTTATTTATGCAAGGCGAAAGAACAGGGCAGATCTGCATTCTATCAATGCGCTTTAAACCGGCTTCAGGATAACCGCATGGCGCAACGTGGCCGCTAAAAATTGTGTTCCGCGCTATTGAATTCTGCAGGCGTAGCATCTCCGCTAAACAAAGCCCTTGGATCCCACATCTTTTTTAAGCTGCGCTTTTCTGAGCTGCGACCGGGAAAGCTTAAACGAAGTACAATGTTGGAGCAGAAATAGCATAGACAGGACTTAACAATACATATTCTCAAGAAGCAAATGAAACTAATATTGGACCCTGTCCTATGCCAGGGTTTAGACAGGATTTGATCAAGATCTCACTCAATGCTATGTATGGATTACTATATTATGATTCAGATTACAGAAAGCCTTGGCTCTTTTCTTTCTGCCCCAAATTAGGAAAAAAATGCAGTTCTTTTAACATTTGATTTTGCTGTAGGATTTGTTACACCCCTTAACATATCACCACATACATGTAACATTTAATTCAAACCAGGTAGGACTATTAATACAATAGTCCTGCCTGGTCTGCATTAAGTGTTACGGTAACGAAAGTTACTTCGCTCTGATTTTGCAGAGATTCTTGAAATATTAGATACCATCTGTTCTTATTCCTCCAAATCTGAAGTCATCAGGCACAAACTGTCCAGTCTTATGGTTTCATAAGCACCTGCACATTGCAGGCTGACTAAAAATAATTACTGATTGCCCTTTCTGCTTTCTGTATTATTTTTACCTATTTTAATTAACATGTTAAAAACCTCATATGACTAATTAGTTTAAAATGGCCTAGCAGTGCCTTTGGACTAAAGCATAAGTGATTTGATGAATGTTTAAAAACAAAGTTTTTTTTAATTTGCCTCTTGCAAACCAACTTTTAAAATCCTTCCTCTATTATACAACACTCAATCCTATATTTCAGGAATTATTTGACAAAAATAAATTAATTTTAAAAAGCATTTATTGACGTAAAAATTCCTGATAAAGAAATGTTTTCCTGAAAACATTTAAAACTTTTTATTACATACTTTAAATTATTTTTTTTAATTATTTTACTAACTTTCTCCTAAATGTATCTCACATGTAATTTGGCACACTGAAGCACTTATATTTCACTACATATAGTTAAGATGTCTATGACATCATGGAATTTGTTCCTTATGAATAGTACAATAGAGTATATACTGATACTAAGACATAATAGTATTACAGTAATAGTATGTATACAAAAATCTTGTGTATCAAGGATACACAATTGCCTATTTAGTAAAACCCGAAACTGTTAACTGGGACTAAAGCAGAACTTTGTATGCATTAATGTTTCCAAGCGACCCCACAGAACTGGCAGCTAAAGAATGATTGGCAATTGCAGCAGGATAGAGCTTTTTGCAAATCCTTGCACTGCAAGAATGCTGGAATAAAAGATGGAAAGTCCAAGAATTTTAAGTCGGTGACTTTATTACTTTTGTCATGAAGTTTAGCAAAGCTCTACTATCTTTTTTTTCCCATGTGGAAAGTTGCTCTGCACTCCATTGAGAAGATATACTTTAGCGATGCAAATTCTGACTTCATCATATTGCGATATTGAATTAGAACAATTCAATTGTTTCAGAAAGCACTGTTATAAATTTTAGAGCACCAAGATCTTCTAATACCACTTTCCCCAAAGTTCTGTTGTCCAGCCCCACTAAATTAGAACTCCCATGTATCCCTACACTTTCTTGGGTTTAAAATATGCATTATTGCATGGGGACTCATTTTGGCTCCTACTAATGCTCTAATCTACCACGGTTGAGGCATCAGCAGAGCAGAAAAAGGGAATTGTAGTCTCCAAGTTGAAACAGCTTCGATTCACTCGGAACACTTGAGTATATTATTTCCAAAGTTTACTCATGTGGAAAATGCTCTGAACATACTCATATTTCTAAGAACCACTCAAAGGTTATTTATTTATTTATTTATTTGTTCAACTTGTATGCCGCCTTTCTCCGAAGACTCAAGGTGGCTTACAATGCATTTAAAAACATATATAAAACATTAAAAGTTAAACCATTAAAAACAATTAAAACCCATTCACACCATTCATGGCCGGATCTCACCAAATCGCAGCAGCGAGATCAACGGTCCCAGGCCTGCCGGAAGAGCCAGGTCTTCACCGCTTTTCGGAAGGCCAATAGGGTGGGGATGGTCCGGACCTCAGGATGTGGCGTGCCATTAACCTGGGACTATACAAAGTATCAGCACAAAGAACTTTTTCAGGTATGCTTGACTCTTTTAGAGTGCACTAGATAAGGAGCTTTTATTGAGTTACAAAGCCCCTTGAGAATCAGCAATCACTGCCCGTGTATAGGCAGTCCTGTACACAGCGTCCATCTGTACAGGTAGACCTTGACTTATGATCAAAGTTCTGATAGACCTCCACCCCCCATTTTTTTTTACTTAGAATCCAGTTCCAACATCTGCCCCAATCTCCCCAGGTCATGTGACTGCATTTTGAGCAGCCTGCCCACATTTGCAGCACTCCACAATCATGTGACTTGGCTTATGCCATTTTTGACAGAAACCAAAGTTTACTTCTAGTTTCCAGCAAAAACCACCTCATAGTAAACAATGGATTCCCTTAATGACTGCCACATTTGCTTAAAGACCGCCAGAAAAAAAGGTAAAACTGGGTCCCGTCATATGATGACTTGCTTTATAATTCTAATTGTGGACCTAAATTATAGTTGTAACTCAAGAATTACCTGTATAGGCTGTTCTAGTGCTTAAAAAGAGCCAGTTTGGTGTAGTGGTTATGATACTGAGCTAAAAACTGGGAGACCATGAAATTCTTGTTCTGCCTTAAGCACAAAAGCAGTTGGGTTTTCTTGGGCGAGTCTGAGGAAGAAGAAGCAGTGGCAAGCCAATTTGGAAACCTTGCCAAGAAAACTGCAGGGACTTGCCCAATCACCAAGAGTCAAAACTGACTTGAAAAAGCAGAACCAGGAACATTTAAAATCATCACATGAAAGGTTCAGCATTTTCAACTATGAAGACAACATCTCTTCACAGTAGGATAGGCTTGGATTTAATTAGAATCCAGCCTCAAGAACAGATTGCAAATACAGGATTCTCCCCACTCTCACTACAGCTTTGGGATCATCATGGATTCTTTTGTACCCCCAGAACTGCCGTCGACTATATTTTCATCTGCTCCTTAATTGCTTTTTCTTGAATGGCATCAGTTTGTTCTTACGATGAAATATATTTTGAGCTTAGAAATTCAACTGGTCCTATAAAATCAGCATAATTTGTGATAATGAGATGGAGAATTAATAAACAAATTTACTTCAATTCTTTATAGTGTAAGGGGTGTCAAACTTTATTTCATTGAGGGCTGCATCAGGGTTGTGTTTGACCTGTGGGGGCAGGAATGGCCAGGGTGGGCGTGGCCACCTCAACGTCACTTGTGTCGGGGGCGCCTGTGATGCCCCAAGTGCTCTGCTAGTGAACATGGACTCCCGAGCTCCATTTTTGGCTGCGACAGCCTCGTGCAACCCTCTGCCAGCAAAAATGTGGCCCTCCCGAACTCTGTTTTCGCTGGTAGAAGTACAGTGGGTCAGTCCTTCGCTGTTTCCAGGGCGGCCCTGCAGGCCAGATCTAAGCAACCCATGGGTTGGATCCATCCCCTGGGCCTTGAATTTGATACCCCCGATCTAGGGGAAACTACATTTTTAATATTTATTCCACACTTAATTCCTTATATTTTAGCAAGTGAACTTTATGTGCCTTGTGTTTTTAGAGGATACCCCAATCTTAACATCTTTTCTATTCCAGAGCAAAATGACTGTCAAAGCACCCAAAATGTCATGCATTACCCCAAATGTTTATACTAAAGTGCCTGATGGAGGATGGGGATGGATTGTGGCATTCGCTTTCTTCTTTGTGGAGGCCTTGACGTACGGCATTATCAAGTCCTTTGGGGTCTTCTTTACTGACTTAGTGGACTGTTTTAATGAAAGCAACAGCAGGATAGCATGGATAATCTCAATATGTGTATTTGTACTTACGTTTACAGGTAAGTGTATACTTAGATAATAGTTTATTTATTTATTTATTTTATTTGTATACCGCCCTTCTCCAACAGGACTTAGGGCGGTGAACAGCCACGGTAAAAACACAACATATAAAATTTAAAAACAATTTTAAAAACATTAAATAATTTTGGCCATCAATTTAAAAACCCAATTAAAACCAATTATAAATTTAAAACCGCAAGGATGGGGTCAAGCCAACCCGGCTAGATGAAATAGATGTGTTTTCAGGGCCCGACGAAAAGTCCGGAGGTCTGGTATCGTGCGTATCTCTGGGGGTAGGTTGTTCCAGAGGGCAGGTGCCGCCACAGAGAATGCTCTCCCCCTGGGGGTCGCCAGCCGACATTGTCTGGCCGACGGCACCCTGAGGAGGCCCTCTCTGTGTGAGAGAACTGGCCGGTGGGAGGCTATTGGCGGCAGAAGGCGGTCTCGTAAATACCCCGGCCCTAAGCCATGGAGCGCTTTAAAGGTGGTCACCAACACCTTGAAGCGCACCCGGAAGACCACAGGAAGCCAGTACAGCTCGCGCAGGAGAGGTGTCACATGGGAGCGCCCCGTCGCTCCCATAATCCCCCACGTGGCCGCATTCTGGACCAACTGGAGCCTCCGGGTGCACCCCAAGGGGAGCCCCATGTAGAGAGCATTGCAGTAGTCCAGGCGGGAAGTGACGAGTGCCTGAGTGACCGTGCGTAGGGAGTCCCGATCTAGAAACTTCATATAAAGTTACATGAAGTCTTACAAACCTGGTCTTATACATGGATAATTATGACTTAAGACCTGTGCTTTCAATGGGCTTAAAGGGGCCCTACCCAGCATAAGGCTTGGTTATACTATTGGTAGTCATTTAATGACCACTTGTTTAACAATCATTCAAACTTAGGACAACCCTGAACAACAGTGATAATTACAGTCAATCCTTGAACTTGCAGCCATTGCACCATTCCCTGCAGCAAAGTGATCGTGATTTGGGCATGTTGCAACCAGCGTGCATTTATTATAAGCATCAGAACATCCTGTGATCACTATTTGCAATCTTCACAGCTGGCTTCCACTACGCAAAGTCAATGGGGAAGCCAGCAGTAAGTTATGGTCAGATGATGTTTGCACTTAACCACCCATAGTGATTCACTTAACCACTATTGTGGGACTGCTGTAAATCTGGTGTGGTTATGATGTTTTGGGTTAACAACCGTGTCACTTAATGACAGATTTGCCAGTTCTGATTGCAGTCAGTAAGGACAACATATATTTATCCCAAGTGAGATTACTCAGTCAAACCAGCTCCTGTCTTTCAATAAGAGAATTCTGAAAGAAATACGGTACTAGAACAATTAAGGATTGCATTCTGTATACATTGATTTACAATTAGGCTCTTGGAGAAAGTTTACTTTCTATGCATTTTATGCTTAATAACTGTTCTAGATGATGGCTTAATTCAAGTTTACAGACATATTTGAGGGACCGTCCTGTATAGTATCTGCCCATCCTGTTTGATCCTGCAGAGCTGGCATATTTTGGTTACCTATTAATCAAACCATGTCACCTGATGGGATGTGAGAAATAAGGTTTCTCTGTTGAAACTTGGAACACCTGCCAATTTGCCACTGTGGACTTATTAATGAAATATACATAGTGAGGGGATGTTTTATATTGGTATCTTTGAGTCACTGGCAACTGTCTGGACTTGTTCCTGCACTCTTCTTGGCAAGGTTTTTCAGAAGTGGTTTCCCATTGCCTCCTTTCTAGGGTTGAGAGAAAGTGACTGGCCCAAGATCACCAATTGTCGTTGTGCCTAAGACAGGACTAAAACTCCCAAACACCCAGTTTTTAGCCTGGTGCTGTAACTCTTAACAACCAGACTGGTTATCATACATTAGGTAAATGTGTGTATGTACAACCTACCACTTGGCATTGCTCTAATAGAGTAAAAATAAAATAACCAGAAGTAAATTACTGATGCCTGGTAAGTTTGAATCACTGAACCAGTGACTTATACGTTGCCACGTTCTTAGCTGTTGGATACAAGGTGTTATAAGGGGAGGAGAGATTCGGAGGACCCTGCTAACCAAAGCACATAGGTTGGGTTCCAGTATTCTGGTCTGAAAAGAGGGATAAACAATTAAATCTTCCTTCTTTTCGCAGCTCCTCTTTCTACAATTGTAGCTAATCGTTTTGGTCATCGTCTGGTGGTGATGATTGGAGGGCTACTGGTCTGTAGTGGAATGGTTGCCGCTTCCTTTGCACGTACACTGGTTGAAATGTACATCTCAATTGGCATAGTTTCGGGTGAGTTTCTTTTAAAGAAATGTTGAGCTAACATAATTCTGCAAGAAATGTTTACATTGAGAAGTAGAAGTAGCTCTTGTATGAAGAGGCCAAGATATCTAGGAAAGAGAAAAATCTGCATAGTTCTCAGTTCTGCTGAGTGACCCTGGTTGTTAATGCCATCACAGGCAGACCTGGATTTTCAGCTTCCTTGCCCACCTAACAGAGCAAAGGTTCATTTTGAGAGCTTATTATGGGAAATGTATCACGACACATTCTAATTATTTGAAAACAATTATTTGAAAACAAGAATTAGCAAAACATGTCAGAATTTCAAGATAAATTATGGGTGGCAAGAAGTATGTCCTGAGTGAATAATTTTTAAAAAATATTTCCGATCCTGCAGGAGCATAACAGCTTTATATTAACATTTGGCATTTATTCACAGGTTTAGGATACTGTTTTGCCTTTCTTCCAACTGTTACCATACTGTCTCAGTACTTTGACAAAAAGCGCTCATTGGTCACTGCCGTGGCTTCTACAGGAGAATGCTTTGCTGTTTTTTCTTTTGCACCAGGTAAAAAAACACGTCTCTTGACTTTTCTGAAATAGAGGCATTTTAATATTGTATGCTTCTTCACCCTTTTGGCATGGATATATCAAAACATAGTCCTGCCCAAATCTAGCTGCCTTGGGGCCATGTTAAAATTTTATTTTCAGTTAACAAATATATTAATTGTAGAGTAGCGGTCCCCAACCTTTCTGGCTCCAGGGACTGGTTTCGGAAGAAAAACTCTCTTCCACAGATGGGTGGAGGTGGGGTGTCATACATGGAACTTGGATCCCACACATGTGCAGATTAAGCACCTGTTCACCTGCTGCTTGCACGGCCCCGTTCCCAACGTACCATAGATTGGTACTGGTCCATGGCCAGGGGTTGAGGATCCCTGTTGTAGAGAATGTGCAACTCCAAATTAATGTTCCTCTTTGGGTTACTCTTTAATTTAGCAGAAAAAGAGATCAATGATGGAAAAAGGATTTCCATCTCAATCATTTTCAAAAATGCAACATTTCTAGCTAAGTTCTTAAAGATCATACAGTTCTGCCAGACATAGATAGTAAAAGCCATAGATTTTTCATTTGAGCAGAACTGTGCTTAATCCATTAAATCATGCTTCAAAGGCATCGACTGTATATTGTAAAGAAGTAAATAGATAATTGAAGTTCATTTTGATTTAGTGGGTAAAAGCATTAGACTACAACAGTGTTGGCGAATCTTTTCAGCACTGAGTGCTGAAACAGGAGAGCATGCTGGAAACCAGAAGAGCAGCTCCATGGCGTGCATGTGCACGCCGGGAAACTGAGCTTCCAGTTTCCGGCGCACATGCGCATACAAAGACCAACTGGCCAGTGCGCATGCATGCACTGGAAACTGGAAGCTCAGCTTCCTGGCGTGCACATGAATTCTGGGGAGCTGCTCTTCCAGTTTCCGGCACTCCCACGCACGCGAAGCCAGAACCCAGAAGAGCAATGGGCGACGGCTGCTGTGCCCGGAGAGATGGCTCTGCATGCCACTTCCGGCACACATGCCATAGGTTTGCCATAACGGGACTAGAACCTAGGAAATCAGGGGTTCTTGTTGGGCCTTAGGCATAAAGCCAGCTGGATGACTTGAGGCCAGTCAGTTTCTCTCAGCCTTAGGAATAAGTCATTGGCAAACAACTTCTGAAAATGTTGCCAAGAAAATTGTATGGAGTTGTCCATGTAGTCACCAGCAATCAAGGCACTAAAAACAAAACAACTATGTAATAATGCAAGTATTATAGATGCAAAATTTAAACTACTGTCAGCAGTAGAAGCCTACTTGGTGGGGCCAGTTACTCATTTTCAGCCCAACATACATCATAGGATTGTTGTGGGGAGAATTGGGAGAGAAGAGTGCTGTATACTCTTATTGGAGATCCTACAAAGAGAATTTACAATTTAATTGTATTCTCAACTTCCAACATATTTTCTATAAAAGCATAGCAAGTTCTCGGAATGCATGCTGTTTTCATTAAGAGTCAGAGATCATTCCATTCATTATATTCCAAGTAATTAGAACTTCTTTCCAATCTTAAGAAAAATCACACCACCTGCTAAGTAAGAAGTGGGGGAGGGAGATTTAGAAAAATAAAGGACAGGATGACAGAAGGGATATCCAGATCTTTACATTGGAAATATAAATAAAACTGTAAAAGGGGGTTTGTGCCTAAATTTGTAATTAGGGACACAATTTGACTCCTTAGTTATTCTAGACACGAGCTCGGACTACTATAGAGCATGTTCTCACCTTGCTACTATTTTTTTCAATAAGCAGAGTAAAATGACATACAACCTATGCAGAAGCTAAAAATAAAGCTAAATTGCAATTCCAACTGCAGTATTAATAGTAGAAAGGCTGTCTATGTGGTTATCTGGGAGATTAACCCATCGTATCTGAAATTCAAACCCTGGGGTCTTAGCATGTCCATATGGCTTGGTGCAATTTTAGTATGCTACTAGAATTCACCAGGCCTACTATACGTGCTAAGATGAAATGTGCTTTCAGTCCTCCTCCATGCCAAAACCTTCATTTTGCCCATACTTAGTGTCTCCCAATTCTGTTCTAGCTCCCATATCTATTGCATATAACTCATTCCATCATGGTGGAGAAAGACACTGGTTTTAGTTTCACAGAGTATAGATTTGGAAAAGTAAGAGAACTGTATTTGATCCTGTTTTCCCTAAGGTGACAGAAGCATATATATATATATATATATATATTTCTGTCTAATATGTGCTAAAGTTCAGCAGCACCAAAGCTTACCTGGGCAAAGAAACATTTGGTATAAAAATCCGTTTTGTAGTTTGCTTTTCTCATGCTTAAACTATCCATGTCTCCCAAAATAATTAGCCAAGAATTCTATGCCGGTCCCTAAACTCCATGAGTGTAAACTATGGCAAAATTTGAACTTACTGTTATAAACGTGTTTTTCCAAGTTCACACTAGTGGTGAAATGTAAAATTTGTTACTACCAGTTCTGTGGGCGTGGCTTGGTGGGGGAATGTGACTGGGTGGGTGTGGCCAACTTTTTCTTTTAACTTTTAAAACCATTTTTTTCTACAACCTCTTCGTTTTAAAAAATGCTTTTAAAAGCCTCTGACAATCCCAGCTGAGTTGCCTGATCAGCAGAGGCTTTTTTTTTTCTGATCCAGAAAAAAAGCCACATGATCATCACAGGTTTTTTTTTTTTTTAATTTTTAAAAGCATTTTTTTCTACAACCTCTTTGGCCGGAAAAATGCTTTTAAAAATATTTTTTTAAAAAGCCTCTGATGATTGTGTGGCTCAGCTGGGCATTGGGGGGGTGGGGGTGGGCAGGGATGTTTGCTACCGGTTCTCCGAACCACCCGCTGCCATCGCTATCGGATCCGGCGATCTGGTCCGAACCGGCATTTCATCCCTGGTTCATACGTACGTTTTATTTTTTCCTATGCTATAGCTATCACTGCTTCAAAGGAATACTTTGGTTGGAGAGCCAGCCTCTTGTTTGTTGGTCTACTGCAGCTTGGAATTACTGCCTGCGGATTGCTGCTGCGCCCCATCACAATCATAGCACAAGAAGTAGTGAAAGTACCACCAGTGGAACAGCAAAGAGAGACAAAGTACATGCTTGAAAATGAACAGACACGCACCTCAATAGACTCCATTGACTCGGGAGTAGAAATAACTACCTCACCTCACAACGTATCTAGAGATGCCAACTTGGAACTTAAAAACGAAGAACCAAAGGAAAACATGGAGATGTTCATAGCCAGTAGTGGCATTCCTACCAAGGAACCCAAACCCAAACTCCTAGACTTCTCTGTGTTGAAAGACTGCAGCTTTATTTGTTACGCGCTTTTTGGTCTATTTGCTACTTTGGGATTTTTTGCTCCTTCGCTATATATAATTCCTCTCAGCATGAGCCTTGGCATCAACAAGGATCGCTCTGCTTACATTCTCTCAGCAATGGCAATTGCTGAGGTCTTTGGTAGAATCGGCGCTGGTTGGGTGCTCAACAAAAAGCCCATCAGAAAGATTTACATTGAGCTCATTTGTGTCATTCTGCTGGACATTGCCCTTTTTGCCTTCCCTCTCGCCTACGATTTTTGGGGGCTAATGATGTGTAGCATTTTCTTTGGATTCATGCTCGGGACAGTAGCGGGCACACACATTCCAATGCTAGCTGAAGAGGATGTCGTGGGCATTGAGAGGATGGCATCTGCTGCAGGGGTCTACGTATTTATTCAAAGCTTATCAGGGTTGGCTGGACCACCCCTTGCAGGTAGTGTTAAGCAGCATTTCAGAGATCTTTTTACTTCTCTCTCTACTCTTTCTACCCATGCTGGGGCTCCCTAACAATTGCACCTGTTTCCCAAGGTTCAGTGTGTCATTATCAGGTAGGGCTGAAGAAAGCCCTCACTGAAAATATGAAGAGATACTGCCAGCCAGTATTGACAAGATTCTACCATATGTGCACCTATTACCTGACTCAATATTAGGCAGCTTTCTACTGCGATGGTAATGTATACTAAACCACAGTTGAAGAACAAGTAAAAAATGGAAAAGGTGCTCTTGTGTGAACAGGGAACATTCAATTCAGCTTATATAGGATACATAGGGAAGCAGAAGGAAATTGAAATACTCCTAGATGATAAGGGCTGTAGGTCAACAATAGAAGGCAAGAGTTTACATTAGCAGCCCATATAGATTTATAAGCATTGCATTTTCATCAGCCTCCCTAAAGGAGCTAATCAATTTATTGTGTAAAAAGATGTGGTGGCGCAGTGGTTAGAATGCAGTATTGCAGGCTAATTCTGCCAACTGCCAGGAGTTTGATTCTGATCAGCTTCAAGGTTGACTTAGCCTTCCATCCTTCTGAGGTCAGTAAAATGAGAACCCAGATTATTGTGGGCAATATGACCCTGTAAACAGCATAGAGAGGGCTATGAAGCAGCATATAAGTTAGTTAATAAACAATCTTGCTACTTTTTTATCCCTCTTAGTATTTTAGCATTGCCCAGTAAGCACTTCTTTGGCTTCCAGACATTATCCATCTGCTTGGGCGGTAGTTGAACAGTAGCATCCTTACTAATCATATTATTAGCAATGGAAATCTTAATTTACAGAGTGCTTCAAGACTGGTATATTGTTTTATGCCTTAAACTCTACGAAGTGGGTAGTTTTTCCTATTTTACAGAAGGCTAATAGTGAAAGAGAATTTGTCCAGGGTTCAATTAATACTTGAACCCAGCTCTTTACAAGCCATAGAAATCTCTTACTTGCCTGACCGTGGCTACATAGATTTTTATTCTGAGTTTAGCAATATGCAAGCAAATAAGGAATCAGAACAAAGTTTACATGTGGAGAGGAAGAGGAGACCTGTAGCCTTCTAGATCTTATTGGACTAATAAGGGATGGTGGAAGGTGCAATTCATAAACACCTGGGAAACCACAAGTTGTCCAGCCACAGCTTAAAGGGTGTGAAAATTAAATAAGACGGAAGCAGACACTCAACCTGAGTGAAACACTATTAAAGAGCAAATGATCATTTGACTTCTATGCCCAAGACAAACAACCGTCATAATTTTATCTTCAAGACTGTTTAGAAATAATTGTAGTAGTGAGTTGAATGCTGCACTTCAAGGACCACCTTCAATACCTTTTCTAGAATTGTTTACAATTTTGAGCTATTTAGGATGGGCCCAAACCCCAAGCATGCATCATGGGAACACAGTTTGGTAAAGTCATTTCCCTCTTTTCCCCTTCTTTTTAAATAATGTAATAATTGTTTAAGTAATTCACTTATTAAGCCCAGGTGCCCCTCTGCTTGTTCTTAAACTTGGAAGATTAGATTTGGTGTTCTGTAAGTCACGCTCAGGAAAGAAAAATCTGAAGAAAATGTTTCAAAAGATTGTGGCAAACTGGTACGTATAAAGTTTTTCATAACATGCTCTTTTCTTCTTGCTTTTGCAGGTGTACTAGTGGATACCACAAAAAAATACAGTTCTGCATTCTATTCCTGTGCTGGTGGAATGCTGCTGGCTGCTGTATTCCTTTCATTGGTGAGGCCTTGCAAGAATTTAACATGTCAACGAAAGAAACAATCAATACAAGAGAACGCCTCGGAGCCTCAGGACGATTTTATAGAAACTGATTTTGGGAAAACAGAGGATTCTGTAAAGAGCTATGATAGCATAGCTTGAATTTTAACACATATTATTTAGAGATTGGGGAAAAACAAGTCAGCTCAAGTCCACCTTTTGAAACTAACACATTAAAGGGAATGCAACACAACAAAGGTGAACATGTTAGCAATCATAAAGACTGGTTAATATTATCTATTTGAAAACACCTGACATGTGAAGTTCTATTGATTAATTCCATGCACACACTTACTGAGCATGAAATTGTGATTCAAATGTTCTTATTAATGGGAAGCAGGCAACACATAATATCTCAATTCCAAATTATAGTGAAGAAGCAAGATGTTAGGGGAAAGAAAAATCAGATGTGGCTTATCTGATGAAGCAGTCTTGAAATGTTTCTTTTCATCAAATAAGCATAGCTGCTCTGTTTTTTTAATTTTGGAGAACAGGTATTAAATTTATACTTGGAACAGGTAGCCAATTCTCCTTTGTCCTGTGACTTGAATTGGAATCCAGCAACATATGGGAAGAAGTTAACTTTTGTCACTCTTCACTAGTCAATTAACAAATAGCTTTTGTGTGCTTTTTTAAAAAGTTGGTTAAACTCCACAAAAGTTTGGAGGTTACCAGTTCTATTTTAGGGCCAGTTACTATAGCTTTTTCATAACAGTATTACCTTAAAATGCCGATAAAAATTATTGCATAATCTTAAGTATGATTATTTATATGTTGTACTGTTTTCTTCAAGATACACTACTGAATGTGCATAAATTTGCAGCCTTGGTGAGACTTGCTTTTCGAGTAGATGTATTCAAAATCACAGTATCAGGCATAGAAGGACTAATACTGATTGTGCATGAATAGGATTGTACTTTTAAAGACTTACTGGTACTTGCCTTTCGACATTCAGGCAAATCACTGATTCTAGCAGTTTTAATTTTTAAAAAAAGTTATTTATTTTTATTTTGTGATTAACTGTTATTTAAAACAAACCATTTGCCCCAAACTCTTTCCAAGTCTTGATGCATTTCTAGTGTGTAGATTTTTAGGCATAGGTAAGTGCACCTACTTATTTTTATGGTTATAGAAGTCTTACAACAGGTGCCTTTTAAAGAAATGAAACAAAGATACTGTGTGGTGTTTTGGAGTTCAAAGGCTGAAACAACCAGACTATAGGCTTAGTTAATAAGACTTCAAGAGTCTGCTCTGATGTAATGGAGGCTGTGGTTTAAATCCAGTAAAAACATTTCAAGCATGTATGGAATTGTATTAAGATTGTTTCAGTAGATAGTCCTCAACTTCTGATCACAACTGAGCCCAAAATTTCTGTTGCTAGGTGAGACATTTGTTAGGTGAGTTTGCTCCAGTTTACGACTTTTTTTTGCCACCGTTGTTCAGTCAATTACTGCAGTTGTTAGGTGAATAATGTTTGTTAAGTGAATCTGGCTTCCCCATTGACTTTGCTTGTCAGAAGTTTGCAAAAGGTGATCATGTGACCCTGGTACACTGCAACCGTCATAAATATGAGGCAGTTGCCAATCATCTGAATTTTGAACATGTGACTATGGGGCTGCTACAAAAGTCACAAGTGTGAAAAAGTTATAACTCACTTTTTTCAGTTATGTTGTAACTTTGAATTGTCACTAAATGAACTGTTGTAAGTGGAGGGCTACCTGTGAAAGTTTGACGATACAGGAGAAAAACATTTTTATTCTGAAAACATTCCACTGTCTTTGGTTATACTATTAATCATCTTTCAGTTAGGTCTATGTCTGTAGGCTTTAGTCCTCTATGGACAAGCTTGAGAACGTGCATGCTTTATTTTTGGGATCTGTTCTTACCTTTGTTAACTTCCACACTCATTCATGTATAGGTCTTTTATGAGTTAAATAGAAGCTCTGATTGTTCCATCAGTGCCTTCATATGAAAGTTGTACATTTTGTCATTCCATTTGTATGACCACAGTTGTCCTTACAGTAGAGTGCATTGAAAGGCGAAACTGTATAATCTAATGCCTCAGTCATCTACTTTCTTGCAATTCCCACTGGGCAGTGTGCCTCAGTGGAGCCATGTTTGAGATCTTAAAGGGGCCAACTGCATAAACCAAGCCTTGGGGAACTTTGAGGGTTATCTGATCTATGTTTTAAAAATCCAAGTGACCACAGGAGGGCAGCAGAGAGATATTTAAACCTAACTATTGGCTGTCATCTAGTGGTCATCCAGATTTTTTACAGCTATATCTGATAACCTGGTAATCTGGTTTTTTTTAAATGCTCCATTCATTGCAGTCACATAATGCATGAATCAATGTAACAGTCACTGCAGAGAAAAAAATGCAACAAAATTAATATTTTTAAAATGCAATTTGTGCATCCCCCATTTTCAGTTAAGTTTTGTATAAAGAAAGGGAATTCTAAGAGGTGGCGGCAACATGTTGACTATTGTTCACTGACTTTTAATAAATAGCCACATCAAAGGTGACACGAGCTTGCTTACCCCACTTTTATACGTCTTTTTCTCACTAGACAACTCAGGGGGGAAACGAGAAAATAACAGATTTTGTTCTGAATATACACAAGTACAGATTAAAAATGTTTCTTGATAATCCATTGATAATGGCTGTATGTCAATTATTCTGCTAAGATTATACAAATTAAGGTCATTGTGATTCCTGATAGGGAATAGGGTTTTTCGGTATCCCCTACCAAAAAACAAATGCAACCTAATCTATACCATCACAATGTACTTAAGACATAAATATATGAATGCTGGCAAATTTTCAGTGAATCATATATAAAACATTCTGATTTTAAATATTCTTATAAAAGAACAAAAACATGATCTTAAGAGCTATTTACTTGCACTATGTTCTAGTAAAATCCTTTACTTTTGTCATCAAAATGCCCTAGGCACAGGAACATGGTGTCCCTGTATCTTAAGCAATCCATATTGTCTCCCTGCTGGAAAATTCTGAAGACCATGTTGCAATTTGGGATCCTTTGTTTACTTTCAGCACTTTATCATCTACAGTAGAGCCTCAATAAACTGCAGAGATCACTCAGAGAAGGGAATAACTAGATTTTCTGGATTTTTTTGGTGGAAAATAAAGGAATAAAATATGAGGCATGTGCCAATAAAATTTGTTATATATTTAGCAAGCATATCTTATATTTGTTATATTCCTAGTAAAGCAGAAAATGTAAGGTAGGCATAGCAGAGTAATAAAATGTTTTGAATAAAAGGCCACAGTCACTGGCAAATGCTGCTTTCATACTTAGTTCTGGTTTAACCTACCTAAATTACTGTAGGTTGAACTCTAATATAAAACTACAATACAGGCAGTCCTTGTGTAGTAACAGTGACTATTTGCAAATAAAACAGTAATAAAAAATCATTTTCCAACCAATGCAAACATTTACCCCAACAAAAACCTTCAGTGCGAAACTGATTAAGATCTGGTCAGTTTCATGCAACCTCAGGTACCAGGAGGGTTATAATCAATTAAGGTTACAAAGCTGAACTTGTGAATTTGGGGTGGGGGGGAGATCAGGTACTGACCCTGTATAAGAGAACTTCATTAAAAAAGCCGAGGTGGCGCCGTGGTTAGAGTGCAGTACTGCAGTCTACTTCAGCTGACTGCTAGCTGCAGTTCAGCAGTTCAAATCTCATTGGGTCAAGGTTGACTCAGTATTCCATCCTTCCGAGGTGGGTAAAATGACCCAGATTGTTGGGGGCAAAATGCTGACTCTGTAAACGGTTTAGAGAGGGCTGTAAAGCACTATAAAGCAGTATATAAGTCTTAAGTGCTATTGCTATCTGAATGAGAAGGCACCACTGTCTCTCTCTCCTTCATTCAGTCACTTGATTCCTTTAGTGACTGTTGCTTAGTGATCATTTCATCACAACCAGTTCCAATCACTAAACAAGGACAACCTATATGAGAAAAAGTATATTGTGTACTTGACATGTAGTTGGAAAAATTAATTATCTCTGCAAATTAACGAAGTTCTACTGTAATGTTACAAATATTTCCAATCCTAAATAATGCAATGTATATAACTGACTGTATCTGAAGTTACTATGTATGTACATACCATATTAGTGATCAGAATGCACGCATCTGAACAAGATATTCAAAATCAGGATTAAACATGGTTGAAGCAGGATGCTGATTTATTCTGTACTGTACATTAGTGGATTCTGGAAGTGCTACCAAATAATGAGTTTTGCAATAAACTTTTTTTTTTTTATGAAAAAAGAAATGTTGGTTTAAACCTTTTGTTCCAAACTTCACCACTTGTCTTTTTTTGTTAGTGCTATCACCCATTCTTTGAGTTGGCAAAAAACTTATCAGCATGGCATTTGTAATCCCTATTGTCAACTCCTACTTGACCTTTATTTTAACTTCCCTCCAAGGTAAGGTGAGCAAAGCCTAACAGGTTTTATATATCTGAAGCTTCACCTGGAATGATGTCAAAACAGAAATATCAAACTTGGTCCAGCTCAGGATTATTTTAGATTCGGTCATGAACTGAGGAAGAGATGAGGTGAAGACATGGGAACCCAGCAATAAAGCATTTTTATATGGCATACTATACTTATGCTAGTAATAGGGCTACTTGGCCTTTACACAAAGCTTGTAAAGCCATAAAGTATTCATCCTAATATGGAAAGGCACACATAAATTTTAGAAACACTTCATCATGAGGCCCAATCCAGTTAAGGTAACTGCTGGCCAATTCTTTGGATCTATCCATGGGGCTTCCCCATTTGCCCCATGGCTTGTAGAATAGCAATGGCAAACCTTTGGGCCTTGGCATGTCAAAAATCTGGAAAATCTCTCTCTCATTCATTCACACACACAGCCTGAACAACAAAGAATTATCTTTCCCCGATCTTGGTTACTCTAAACAGCAACACTCAGTGGCCGGCTGATGCTGGGTTTGACGTAGAGGCCTAGGCTGCAGTGTCAACCCTAGCAGCACTTCTGCCGCTCAGATACCTTCATGCAGTGTTCTCTTTCTGTTGACAGCCCTCTGCAGCCTCTCCAAGACACGCCCCATTCTCGAGCAGCCTTCCAGCCTCCATAAATCTCACGTGAGAATGTGCTTTTGAGAACAGCTGTTGGAGTGAACTCTTGTGGCATGTCACCTCTGGCATCCAAGTCACAGGCTCACCACCGCTATCCTAGGATATGCTTTCAACTCCCAGTCACATGCTTTCCTCAGCCCTGCAGCATTTTCTTCAATGGCTCTGGCCATGAAATTTTCCAGAGCTTTGTTGTTTCCAACTTCCCTGTTTGTTGCTTGGGTCGAATGTAGCATTCTGACCTTAAGATAATTGTCTCTTTTCAGTGCACCTTGCTTGCCTATTTCCACCCACTGGCTCTTTTGCTTTGCTTAGGCTTCTTCTGTCACTTCACACAAATAAAGGTCATTTTGCAAAACTTTCAAGACTGTATATTTGAGATTTTTTTTCTAATGAAAATGGATCTGTCTATGTGGTGATCCTGGACCTTTCTCTATAGTCATTCCACCTCAGTGCAAATCTTTCTAAAAAGAAGTCTGGCAAGAAAAGTATTTTGTGTCTACTACACCATAAAGCAGTTTTTACAAAGTACAAACATATATACTCACCATTGATTACAAAATACATATGGGATGAAGGATGCCCATCAAGGACACAAAGAGTAGGTACGCATCATACTTTCCATATAATAAACCAAAATTCATCAAACTAACCCTATGTGTATGTACTAACAATAAATTGAATCACATGTGACTGGGTTCCCACAATAAACTAAGCTAAAATGTGTTCAATCAGCTTTCTTCAACCTGGTATCCTCTAGATGATTAAGTTTATAGCTCACATCCGTAACAACATGAAAGCCAATGGGAATTGCTCTGAACTATCTTGAGTGCTTGAGGTAGGGAAAGCAGGGTAGAAACATTGCTGCTTAGTTTCTTGCTTTAAAAAGGATGTCTAGCGCCCTCTGGTGTCTGATTTATGTAAACCATCTAGAAAATATTTCCATTTAAATCAATCTGTTGTCACTGCAAGAATACATACATATTCCTTGTTCAGAAAGAAGAGGCCACACATACATACATAATCATTAGGATCAGAATTAATGCTCAGAAAACCTTGCTCTCAGATGCATCAGCAGAACTGACTTCCAATTCATTCCAAAGTCTTCCAGATTGTATTTTATAATGTTTAACAAAAAGCTTCCAGACTGTAAGCAATCTTGTAAGCACAGAGACTATAAATTGAAGGGTTTTTAAGAGCTGGACAACCATCTCTCAGGGAGGATTTAATTGGTTTTCCTGCACACTGCAGTGTTGCACTAAATGGCTTCGGTGACCTTTTCAAAAGTGTAATTCTATGATTTAAGAGACTTGCCTAAAGAACCAAACTTCTCACTTGGGATGTTTTCATTTGAAAGAAGCAGCTAGCATTGAGGGATATGAGACCCATTTAGCAGGAAGGAAAACATTTAAATGGGTCACCTTCCAGATAATCCTTGGGTTGCTTTTTTAAAGCTCAACACATGTCTTGTGCAAAGACCAAGCAGCACTTCCATTTCCAAGTTGAAACATATTTGCCAGAATGGGGAACAATGGTAGTTCCTACGCATATCAAAGGAAAATACAATACAAAAACATGCTGCCTTTGATGGAAGTGCTATAACTATTAAGAAAGCTTCGGGAGATAAAACAATAAATGGGAGATTAGCGATTAAAGACTGCATAGTAGACCATTTTCAGAGAGTTCACAGCTCGCTGCACAAACCAGCATAATCCTCTCTCCAGAGTTTGGGTCAGAGCAGCTAAATTGCAATCATATTACAACAACCTTAAGCAGAGAGTCTCAAGATGTTACAAGAAAGAAAACGTGTAAATCCGAACAGCTGTGAACTGCGCGCAGGGTGCAAGTCAGAAACCGAGTTTCAACCCACTTCTCAATTCGTTTAAGTCGGGGACGGGAGCTGATGCTTCAGAAGCAATTCTGCTCCAGCCGGAGGATCAGGATGCTCCCGGGTTACATGCAAAACGTGTGAAGTTGTAAGAATTAAAAGATCTGGAGCCGGACGACCCGTTTGAAAAGCGCCTAAATCCGGGAAAGGGTCAGAGCAGAGCAGCGACTGCAGTACCAGCTGAGCTGCCTCGCCCCACGCTCCCACCCCCAAGTTTTGAGCATGGGGCAAGCCTGCCAAGCGGGGGTGGGGAAGGGCGGAGCGGGGGGCTCACTGAGCAAGGCCTGCCCCTGCCAGCCTCCGCAGGGAACACAGCATGGAAAATTCCACCGTCCCTCGCCGGAAGCGCCACATCGGGCCTGGCCGCTGCCAATTCCCAGTTCCAGCTCAATCATGGACGTGCATCCCCTTTTCACCTGCCCCTTAGGAATAGCTAACTTCCCGCCCGACATCGGGCTGCAGCAGGTGTCCTTCATGCACTGGATAACTTTAGCTAGAAGGACCAATGCAACTGCACTGCATCCGCCGGAGCCACAACTGAAACTCCTGCAGCCTCGTTACCCGGAGTGGAGCGTACAAAAGACAGATAGTTCTCTGACTCTCCCTGCCGGCCTCCCACCCTAAACTAGAGGCTGAGTTGCAAGATTGCTGCAGCTCCGGCCCTTTGCTGCAGCCGAAGGACTCACTTTTCCCAGTTTGCTCTGGTTGCTCGCCTTCCTTTCAATTGACCCCCCCCCCCAATCATCTCAGCTCAAGTCAAAGCCCAAAGTTATATCCATGTTAAAAAAAATAAATATCTGGTAATTGTACAGCAAAGATGGTTTGTGCACTCACACGTCCACGCCACTCACGCACCCCACCACTGCTAGCCACCAGGTTCCCCGATTCAACGCAAGTGTAAGCCAGGCTTTGCACCTCCCTTTTGCTTGGGCCTGAACCAATCAGGAGGCGCTGAGCCAATTCCACCCGAAGGAGCCGAAGAGTGGAACTTCGGAATCCCATCCCCTGCGCAAAACCCAAAATACCTTTTGAGGCGATCGCCGAGTAGTCCCCACTCTCGGGGAGAGGATGAGTTGGTGATAGGCGTTTCCATAGGAAGTTAGTTTCTCCCTCCTGTTTTTTGTCTTGAGTTCTAGAGAGTTATTTGAAGTGTCTGCCGCAGCTATACATCAATTCTTCAACCCAGACTGTTGAGTATTGAATGGCAAGTTCAAACGAGCCAATCAAGTAAGAGACCCAGGAGCGGGAAAACTTAAGCCAACGTCAGTGGCTGAAGCCGCGGACAGCTCCCCTCTATAAAAATTTTTGCAAAGTTCGATTTGGCACAAGCCTACCAACAGCTCCCCGTAGATGATGCCACGGCGGAAGCACAGACAACAGTAACACACAGGGGAGCACTCAAGTGTAAACACCAATTCGGGGTAAGCGTAGCCCCGGGGTTGTTCCAGAGCCTAATGGAACGCCTACTACAAGGGATCGATGGAGTCGTTCCATATTTTGATGACGTGTTGATCTCAGCAATAGACCTGAAGCAATTACAACAACGAGTACGGGCAGTGCTAACCAGGTTTCAAGAGGTGGGACTGAAAGTCAAAAAGAACAAGTGCCATCTAGCTGAAACCCAAGTAGAGTTCCTGGGGTATTTAATAGACAGCACCAGGATACGTCCCACCACAAGCAAACTGAAGGCCATCAGAGAAGCACCCGCACCCACTAACAAGACAGAAGTGCAAGCGTTTTTAGGTTTACTGAATTTTTATAACATCTTCTTACCGCAGAAAGCAACTATTGCTGAACCGTTGCACCGGCTGTTGGACAGAACGATGGAATGGAAATGGGGAAGACCAGAGAAGATTGCTTTTGAAAAAATAAAAAACCTGTTGACATCAGACAGAGTGCTAGTACAATACAATGGGACACTATCAATTAGACTGACTTGCGACGTGTCACCCTTCGGCATCAGAGCTGTACTAAGTCACTGCATGCCGAACGGAAGAGAAGCCCCCATCGCATTCTGTTCACGGACACTGTCCAAGCTGGAAAGAAATTATAGCCAGCTAGACAAGGAGGCCTTGGCTGCAGTGGCTGGCATAAAACGTTTTCACGAATACTTGTATGGGCGGAAATTCGAACTCATCACCGACCATAAGCCGCTGTTGGGGATCATCGCGGAAGACAAGCCTACACCCCCCATATTGTCCCCAAGAATGCTGTGGTGGATAGAGTTCCTGGCAGCATACGAGTACCAGCTGTCATACAAGCCTGGAAAGACCATCACACATGCCAACGCACTCAGCCGATATCCCCTGCCAGAAAACGTGGAGGACCCAGCACCCGCTACATCCACACTATTAATTGAAACCATGGAGAATGTGCAAATCTCCACAGGAGATATCACGAGAGCCACAGCAAAAGAGAAGACTCTGGCGCGCGTTTTGAATTGAATTTGGAAGGGTGGCCTGACACAAGCGTCGGCGCGGAATTCAACCTTACAAAACAAGACAGACAGAACTCTCAGGGCTAAGGGGTGCGTCTTGTGGGGAGACAGGGAAATCATCTCCGAGACATTAAGACAGGACATTCTGCACATTTTACACGAGGGTCACCCAGGGATCGTAAAAATGAAAGCACTGACAAGAAGCTACGTGTGGTGGCCAGGAATGGACAAAGAGATTGAGTCCTGGGTGGCAACGTGCACACCATGCCAAGAAACCTGACCAGCCCTCCACGCAGCCCCTACACACGACTGGGAAAACCCCGGGGCGCCCTGGTCCCACATACACATAGATTTCGCGGGACCATGCCAAGGGAACACATTCCTCATCATCGTGGATGTGTACTCGAAGTGGCTAGAAGTGAGTCTGATGCAATCAACAACAGCGGAGGCAGTCATCCGAGTCCTCAGAAGACTATCTGCAATCCACGGATTGCCCGACCTAATAGTCTCGGACAATGGACCCCAATTCATGGCGAATGTCTTTGAAATGTTTCTTGCAAATCAAGGAATACGACACGCCTTGTCAGCACCGGGAAAACCCTTGACGAACAGTTTGGCTGAACGAATGGTGAGAACAACCAAAGAAACGTTGACCAGACTAGGACCGGGGGACATGCAAGCCAAACTCGACAAGCTCCTAAGCATCCAGCACATCACACCAAGCGCCACGACACACCGGAGCCCAGCTGAACTATTGATGGGAAGGAAGCTGAGGTCCACACTGGATAGACTTCACCCAAGTTCAGCACAGAAAAACCTGCCGACTCTACGAGTAGAACCAGACAATTCCAAATGGGGGACAAGGTTTATTCGAAGGATTTCGGTGGAAACCCACTATGGATACCAGCGGAGATCACACAGATCACCGGGCCACTGTCGTACAGACTGCAGACAGAGGACGGCAAGCACTGGAAAAGACATCTGGATCAACTAAAGGGATGAATAACCAGGGTCGAACACGAACTGAAAGAGATAACCCACAAGCAAAGAGAGGAGAGACACACGGACGAGAACCAAGCCCTAAACCAAGCACCAACACAAGAACAACCAGAGCAAGTCTTAAGCCCGAGACATGGAAACAGACACTTACCTGAAAGCCGGGAAGAGGAACCAAGGAGTCGGAGCGGTGCACCTTTCCGTCCAGGGGAGAAAGGAGTTAACATCCGGGAGAATAAGACCACACCAGCGACCGAGTTTGAGAGAGTTCCGGAGGCAACATCAGGAGAGCCACAGAACTCGACCTCGCCCTCTGAGAATGCTGACGGACTGATCTGCGCAGGTCCAGTCGCGCCCCGAGACAGCCCGCCTACTTACGGGACTACGTACCCTAACAGCTTCAGGATTGGACAACACCAAACTAGAGGGGAGGGGTGTTGAGTATTGAGTGGCAAGTTCAAATGAGCCAATCAAGTAAGAGACCCGGGAGCGGGAAAAGTTAAGCCAACATCAGTGGCTGAAGCCGCGGACAGCTCCCCTCTGTAAAAAGGGCTGCCGCGGCTAGGTTTGCCATTGCAATTACGGAGCCAAATAAAAGTGCTTAACCTTAACGTGTCCAGTCCTTCTTTGCGCCCACTATTTAACACAGACCAAGTTCATTTCCACTTCCCCTCAAATCTCTTGCCTGCCATGGCTCAGTATAAGGGAGGACAAAGTGCCTCTGGTTCCTTTTTCATCAAGCAGCTTAAGCTGCCTAACCAGGGGGAAGAAAAGTCTGACACACCTAAGTGATTACTGTAAAGCCAGAAGCATCCTTGTGTCAGATAGGTAATCCATTGAGTACTTTTTTCTGTTCCAATTTTATTCCGAGTTTGGCCATCCTAGATGCTGCAGAAATCCACCTTGGAAAGGAGATGCTAATCCCATTGAACTAATTCTCCATAGTTCACAGCAAATCATCTCCCTTCACAAAGCTGCAGAGGTAGAGATGGGGAACAGTGGCAAAAGCCTTTAAAAATGTTCATGTTGAAAAATCCAGATTTTTCTTGGCTGGGAGAAACAATGTGAATGCTTGATAAGATACAATTGCCCTATTAGCATCTAAGAAAATATCCTTGGACTTTGTAAAGTACCAATATATTAAACCACTACCCTAATTAACCTGGGACTGAGGCAAAGGTAGTGTTTCTTTAATAACTCACAATGACTATGTTCACCTCAGATTAATACAAAAAACAAATGAAAGGAGCCTGAGTGACGTAGGAGGCTAATGCCTCCTACTAAGGCAGCATTTAACATCCAGCTGCCTGCAATTACTGTGAGTTCAATTCTCACCAGGCTCAAGGTTGACTCAGCCTTCCATCCTTTCTAAGGTGGGTAAAATGAGGACCCGGTTTGTGGGGGCAATAAGATGACTTTGTATAAATATACAAAAGTATGAAGGCTATTGCTTAACGCATTGTAAGCCGCCCTGAGTCTCTGGAGAAGGGTGGCATATAAAATTTTTTTAAAAAACCTATATAAAACATAATGCAAAAGACAATGCAAGTGTGACTGCAGCAAACTAGAATGAAACAAAGATGAAAGTTTCTCATTTTATTTTGTGTCTGAACATTAACCAAAATGTCAACAAAAAAGACAGATAATTTCAAGTACACTGGAAGATCTTTATTTGATTTTTTTTCTAAAATAAGAGTCCTAAATATAATATACCCAAAATCTGGGTAACATGATCAATATGCCTTTTGTCTGTCAGGTGAAATTCTCATCAGAAGTTAATATACCTGCAAAAATTTCTTGCGTGGAAAGAAATTATTTCTGTATCCTTTCAAAATTAAAGGTGCTTTCATGTCAAACATTAATTTCTGGGAAATCAGAAAGCATCCTGGAAGAAGTCAGTGCCCGTCCAACTAAAATTAACCTTGAAAATTATACACAGTAGGAAATCCAATGTACCGAGCTAGGAAGAAGAGAAAAAATATGCTTAACATTAATTAGGCAAGGAAATACGTTAATTGGATTTAGATTTAAGATGAAAGCACTATTGTGCCATATATTAATAATCCAAACCAAGGAAATTAGAAGGTTTTTACTCCTAAATCTTAATAGATTTCCCATTAAAAATGTTCCAGACCTTATAAAGAGGGATACACACTTTAATCAAATTAATCCGACATTAAAAAATGTCCTTGTGTTTGTGTAGTTCTCCTCTTTCTCCTTTGTTCTTTCCCAGGTCATTGCTCAATGTCATCCAGAGGACCATCAGTTCTCCAAATTATTTCCTTTTTCAATTCTGAAGAAAGAGTAGCATTTTTATTTATGAACTGTAAAATATGTAGCTTCTTTAGCTGTTAGGAACACGCTAAAAACTGAGCTTTTGCAGAGCCTCTGCACCTTTAAGTTGCTGATGTTTGTTCCAAAGTCATGTAAGCAGGTATTTTAAGACAGAAACAGGGCTTGATTTGTCAATCAATATTGTGGACGAAGCAACTAATTCAGATGCCTGACAGCAGTTCCTTGGACTGCAGCACAGCTTAACTCTTTCAATATAAGAAATAAATAATGTGTTATTAGACTGTGTTAGACATTCCAGGAAAAAGAGTAACTTAATAGAGACAAAAGAAAAGATATAGAACAAACAGCTTAAATATTTACCATAAGTGTTTTTTTTAGCTTTTAACTTAAAATATATTTAATTATCACCATATTTTAATAGTGATTATATCATTATATTAAGAGCATTCCCTTTGAACCTGTAGAGCAAACCTATTTCTGGAGAACGTCTAAGCATTTCATAAGCATCTCATAACTTTCTGTAAATGATTCCACCGGCTTTGGCAATCCTCCACTAGCCTCACTGCTGTGCCCTTCTTCTGTTCCATTAGCTTTATCTTCTATCCATCTCTGTAGCGCCTAAAAGAATTAGAAACATTATTCAAAATGGGCATGCACAGTAAGAAAACAGAAAATACAGGCTAGCTATTTAGTATCAAGTCAAATTTCTACATTGATGACTTCTTTTTCACACTGTATTGCTGATCAATTTTCTTCAGAGACACATTTCATTTCCTTAATGTCATAAAGAAAACAATGAAACAAGCCATAAGTGGTAAACCAATTCTGTACATACAAATGGTTGGGTGTGGCAGATCTTTGGATTAAGTTTTCAAAAATTCTTGGCTTTTTTATAAATCCACACTACCCAGCAATAACTTTCCTGTTATTCTGCTGAGCAGATCTATAACTTTTGACTTGAGTCCCTAACTCTGTTTTGAACCTCATCATTACCCTTAACAGCACAGAATGGACACTGGTATCCAGTGAAGCAATGTAATAGAATCCCTTCTGCATAATCTGAATTTCTCATTTCTGCCAGAGCTGGAAAGAGCATCATTTAAAGCAGTTCTCACACTGTTAAAGGCTCCATCCTGAAGTGACATACCTTGTATCTTTCCAGAATGCTGAACCCAAGAACAGACTGCAGCTTGCGCAAGCAAATAGGACAAAGGTCTAATGGACGTCTATCTGATTCCTCCAGATGATTAGATCCCTGCATAACACATTGTAACCACTGACAGTGATGGAGCCCAAAGATGTGTCCAATCTCGTGAGTCAAAGTCTGAAACAGAGATATAGGCAAATCACATAAGCCAACTTAAAACCACAACGGTTGTGCTGAATAAGAGCTTAATAGTCCCTATAGCACAGTTAGCTAGTTTTCAAATCAGAGTATACACTTTCATTGCAGGATGTGGAATAATGTAGATGGCAAAATCATTTTATAGTGGGAAAAATAATGACTGAATTCTTGCTCTGCCACAGAATATAAATGGAAGAATTCTACTTAAACCAGCCTTCTCATTATGTTTGACTAATAAGGTCTATTGATTGTGGACTTCAATCATTGTAGTTGCAATGTGGGGTGTTTGGATCACAAGAGATTTTGTGAGAAAAGGTAGAATTGGCCAGTGCGATAGACTGGTGTTGGATTATAACTGGAGACAGCCAGATACAAGGCCAATTTCAACCATAGAAATGTGCTGGATGACTTTGGGTCAGGCACTCTCACCCCAACCTCATACTTTGCTATCTGATCACCTAGAGAAAGGCAAATGATAAATTTAACAAACAAATCAAATAAAAATAATTTAGCCCTTTTAATTTACCTTTTGACTTTTCAGTCAATATAAATATTAACCAATCCCTTTTAATCTTTTAACAAAACAATATTTAATTCAGTATAATTGTACTTAACATTATTCTAAGATATGAAAAGCACAATAACAATAGTGACTCAAAACAGATCTCAAGCTTTAACTTCCAAAAGTTTCCTCTAATCCACAAGCCAATGATCTCCCTGTGAAACAAAGGGTCCTCACATTTCTGCATGATTTCAATCTAACATCCAAATGATCACATGAATTAATTTAATATTTTTAGTCTAGATTAATAACAACAAAATAATCATCGAAGAAGGGAGTTGTGGTATTCATATCAGATGCTTATCCTGTGGTAGGAATTATTTTTGGTTTTGTGTGACACATTAACCCATAAATAAACAAGCTGAATCCTCACAACCAGTTGGGCTAAAATGTGTTGACTAGGTTTGTGATGCCAACCTAATCAGCTGCTCTTTCCTCACCATAAATTTCAACATCTTGTGGCATCTAATAATAATTCTGCTAAAATAGTAGTTAAAAGTTAGGATTTATAATGCTGCTGTCAAGTTTTGAGGTCGTCTCAAATAAATTGCATTTCAAACAAAATCTTTGAAGAAAAACTCCTATTTATTAAGCACAACATTCTAACCCAACTCCAATTGAAGCCAACACTGACTTCCAGCCCCAAAACCCTCCCTTTCCGTTCCCCACTCCCCTGCACTCATTGGCCATCTTCCAAGTCATTCTACCCCTAATCTACTCCAGCTCAAAGGAATTTCCCCCCTCCCATCTCATCTCCTAGGGGATATTATCTCCAGAGAAAATAAGTAGGTGAAAGACGCCTTTCCAGACGCCTTCGCTTCTCATGTCAGCACTAGAGTAAATGCAGGTTGAAGTGCTGACAGCTGCAATGATGGTGAGTGAGTGATCCTAGAAGACACTGTAATATCCATTTCAAGTCATTTTATTTCTAAAGATGACAAAATAACTTACTTTTAATTATAATAATTATTTGTGATTATTTAGCACATGGCATATATTAACTATAAAACTGCAGGAATAAAGGAATCCGATTCCTTGCAATGTAAATCTGAGGAAATCTTCTCAAGAGATTTCCATGTAGTTTAAGAAAAATAAACCTCAAGGCTATTACACTTCCAATCCAGTCAAGCTTCCTAGGCTCTAAGCCAGGGTTTCCCAACTGTGACAATTTCAAAATGCATGGACCACAACTCCCAGCAAGCTGACTGTGGGATTCTGGGAGTGGAAGTCCCTAGACCTTAAAATTGCTGAGGTTGGGACACACTAAGTGCACAATCCACATGTTAAAAAATTTTAATAGGCTACTGTTCCTTTAATAAAAAGAGCTGAAGTTGCTTTAAAACTAAGCAAGAAATGAGGATATTAAAACAGAAATTTAATTTTCAATATAATATAAATATAATATAACTCAATACAACTCTAGTAATTTGAAACACTTACTTTGCAGGATCTCAGTAGTAGTTGACTTGTGATCTCAGGTGTATAGTAACCATCAAACACAGAATAGTCAGCTACAGGAAGCTTTTTTGCTGTTTTCAACCTGCCCTTGTAGTTTGCACTGTAGAAGTCGCTGTCATATCTGGCAAAGCTGAAGATCCCCACTCCTTACAAAGCAAAAGGAAATTCAAATTAAAGTTGTACCAACAGGAGACTGCTGCATTAACCATATGTACATATATGTATCCAAAAGAATACTTCTAGTACAGAAACCTTGCAGTCCACTTCAAACCCCCAAGCGTTGTCTCAAACTGTAACTTTTAAAATGACAGGAGGAAGAAATTACTAAATAAAATAAATCATATTCTATATTTAATTCAGGACTATTTATTTTAATTACATTTAAATTCAATTTAATCTTCGACGTAATCACTTTTTACTGCCTAGCCCTTGGCATAATGCCAAAGTTAAGTGTTCTCCTTGGCTTGGAAAAAGATCAAATATTTAAGGAGGGGGGGGCTCTTTGTTTCAGAGCAACAATCTTTTTGTGCCTTGAAGTAAAGGTGTTTTCTCTTTCATCCCACCTCGACCAATTCAGCTGCAAAACAGTCCACTTAGCAACTGAGTTTAGAAAAGGCAGAAAAGTCCTCCAAAACACTTCTGCACTGGGGCTTAGCACAACCCATTTGGAAAGGCAGTTCAGAAGAAATGGGAGAGGAGAAATGGAGCCCAAGTAAAGACCAAAAGCATCTTAATGACATCTCATGTATTTAGTTAATTGCCTCCTCTACACAAATGAAAAAAGGACTGGTATATGAGAAGTCCTTGGTGCTGTCTGAGGTTGGTTGTTACCTTGCAGACATTTCATTACCCAAACTAGGTAACATCATCAGTGCACAGCGCATATCAAGAAGAGATTGGACAACTATTTGTCTGAAATGCTGTAGGGCAGGGGTGTCAAACTGGTGGCCCACGGGCCAGATGCATAACACACAGGTCACACCTACCCCAACTCCACGAATGGGGAAAACGTCGCAAAATGTCACGTGACAGCAATGTGACGCAGCGAGTTTGACACCCGTGGTGTAGGATTTTCCTGCTTGAGCAGGGGGTTGGACTAGAAGACCTCCAAAGTCCCTTCCAACTCTGTGATTCTATTAAACAACCAAGCTCAGAGAGCACCAAGGCCCTCTAATTTCAACTCTGAGCTACACATATTCTCCTCTATCGGTAATGGAATATTACAAGATAACTTTACCACAACTCCCGTTTGTGCAAATAACCATTTCAGAGAAGAATGTGTCTTTTGTCAGGAAAATGATGCTTTCAGAAAGAATGCTAACTTTCCTTCCAAAATATTTTATTTGCAAACATATAAATCAAGATGATGATGATGATGATGATTACTTTAATTTATATGCCACCATACATATCCAATGTATGACCATTAATAAAAATGCTTTACTTCATGATGGCAAATTAAAGATTCCTAGGCTTTATTATTAAAAAGGCTTCAAACGTACTACCACTGCCCTCTGTTGGTCAATGACAGTACAGTATAACTCATGACCAACAATTTGAAAACAATAACGTTTTCCTCTCCACCACACACTTTATTATTCTGATAGCCTTTATATATTCCTTCCTGCAAACCACTGAGAACCAGGCCCTGGATAGTATTTAGTAATCAAACTGCAAAGGTCCATGAGTTCAAGTTCCTGAACTCCACAGAATAACCTCTGGGCTTTAATTATCTCCAGCAATTTGCAACAAAAATTCAAGCCAAACCCAATCCTTAAATATTCCTCAAAATAGAATGTCACTGCCTGTCAGTTTTTACATATGAATAGAATGTTTCTACACTGCAAATATTGTGGAAGATGATTCATATAATCAGAGCTATATTAGAATTCAATGCACTCTTCCAGCAGTCTGAGGTTGGGATTGCACTAACGCGTAATAAAGTGATTTAAATGATTTTGTACTTTAGCATGCTAATAAATGTGTGAATCCTGTAAATGTCAATTAATTACATAATCCTTGGGCTTGCCACTAAAAGATTTATTTTTCTGTGTGGAAGATCTTTTCCCAAGATGCTGGGCACTGGAATCAGGCCAATCACACAAGAATGAAGTGTGATACCTGCATTTTCAAAATTCTTTCCAGCCTACTAAAAATAATTTCTGGCAAACTATAAAACTGTGGATATACCAATGTGCAATCAAGAAAACTCCACGAAGCCAGCAGAAAACAAAACTGACTGTAGTTGTTAGTTTTACTTTTTAGTAGTGACATACAATATTTGCAATACAATGCTCTCTGATGCAGCCTGAAGTTACAAAAGCAGTATCCTGTTTCTTCCTACTCCTCTAACATTGATAAACAAAGAATGCAAGGATATTGTTATGTTCACACAAGGTATACTAAACTGCATCTGAGTTAAGGGGAACCAGTTGGTGATGCCTAAAACAACAGGCTAGGACTCCTGCACAAAGTTGGCTTCTACTGAAAATCTGCAGATCTAGTTTTCTTGCAGTGCAAAACCCCCCACTCTTTTGCACTTTTAGTAGTGTCACAACAATTCTCAAGTAATTTTGTGTTTATATTCACAGGTAATTCTATTTCATCTGAACTATGAAAAGATGATTGGCCAAAGTCATATTATAAGACATCCTAAGAAGTTAAAAGGAAGCCAACCACATACCTTCTGTTAAGGAGGCTTGGCCAAAGACAAAATTCCAAGAGTCCTTGGGGTAAAGATCTATCACGGTTATTCCCACAATACAAAAAGCATCCTTTGGCTTTTTTTTCTTTAGATAACTCAAGAGATACCCTGTATGAAAAACAGGTATCAGTGTCTCTCCACAGAAGACAGTAATTGCATAATCAAGAACTGCAGCCATAACAGTAATCCTGAAATAAGAGAGATATCAAGATGACCTCTCCAAGTTACATATCACATAAGTGGGGGTGGGGTGGGGGGTGGTATAAGGGCTATGAATTTAAACCTAATAATTTTGAATTTAGTTCCTTTAAAATGAATGTGAAATTTGTAGTTAAAACCAATCTGAGCATGGTCCATTGTTTTGTGATGGAGTATTTATTTAACATGTTTGTACAAAACCACCAGCAAAAGGAAGAATCATACAGCATTTCAACAACACACATTTTGTATTCATCAGATTTTAGTTTCAACCCTCAGCATCCTTAAATTAAAAGAATTAGGTAAGAGATGAAATGAAAGATCTCTGCTTCTGGCCAGGAGAAATAGATATCTCTACTCCCAGAAAAACAAATACACGGACTTCAAGGGCAGCTTAATAAACCTCATCACAGAATAGGCTGTAGCTCAGCATATCAAAGCAAAGCAAAGAAGAGCACAATAATGACACAGAAGGTAGGCCTAAATAGCAACTCTAACCTATGATAGGTCAAGTTCATCCTTCATCGAGCATCATCTTTTTTGACGTTTGATTACAATAAGTCACTCAGAATGTTAGCCTTTTTTCCTTGATGAAAATAGTATTACAAATGTATGTATTTGTATTTATTTATTAAGTTTATATGCTGCCCAACTCACCAATAAGGTGACTGAGTACCTGAATACACCTGAAATTTACAATCCAGTTGACAAAATTGATCAAAACCACAAGAATGAACTAATCTAGCAGTTTTGTCTATTCCTCATACCTGCATGGATCTGCAGATTGTGTGTGTATTCATTGATTCGAAAAGCGCAACCTGTGTGTGAAACTGGCATTGGGTCTAGGATTCTTACAGTCAGGCCGTAGTAAAATGCTTCACAGTAATCTCTCAGCCATTTCAAGTAGACATCTGTGCTAACTTTGGCATCTCCAAAAGAACCTAGGTCCAGAAAACATTCGTTTATAGCAGTTTTTTCCTTCCACTATTTATAGGCAAAATCATATAATACAACAGTAAAATGTTAATTTTACTTTGTAATTATCTTACTATACAATTCTGAGTAGGAACAATTAGTTTATTTTAAAAGACAAGAGACAAGCCAAAGAACACTTAGTGAATAAAAATAGCAATGCAATATAAAGAGCAGATATCATATTTTATTACTCAAAATAGGTTCTTCTGAATTTAAGCCTGCACTGAATTGAGCTTTGTTTTATCTACTGTTCATTAGATACAGTATAAATCTGATCTCCTACATGTTGTGATATGAAGATTCAGACTGCCTTAGCAACCTTCTCAAGTAGAAGATAAAAACTCATCCACCGCTATCTCTTGTTGCCCACATTCTGAAATTGTAGAAATATGTAGGATTCTTTAGTTCATTCTATCAGTTCAGAGAAAATTATCCTGAAAAACTGGCCCAATAATAACCAGGTTTGGATGACAATTATGCAACTGGAAAGCTTGAAAGCTGCCTTTTTAATTAATGGCTAATTAATGGCTCAATTAACACTTTCATAACTGATTCTTTAATATTACCAATAGGCTGGATGTAAATCTGTCTCTTCTGTTGGGTTGGCAAATTTCTGCAGGGGTCATGATAAAACTGTGAAAAATCCTGGGTGGGTTCTGGATGTGAGGAGATCCAGTCTGATTCAGATTCCAGAGTTATAGGTTTAAAAAGAGCACTGTCTGGTTGAAATGCTTCATTCAGCAAATGTTTCTCCTTAGGATCAAACTTTTCATAAAGCTTCAAAAGCTGTCTGTCCTTGGAGAGAAGAGCTGTTTTCAATGCCTCCTCAGAATGCCTTATTACCCTCATCTAATAACAAGAAACAAAGATGAATACTGGTTATGAAATCTGGCTCTTACATGCACATTATTTTAAACAGTTCCTCTTTGCCATCAGTTGAGTCTTGCAAATTCTTTTGATTCTTATTGCAAGCAGATAAGTAACAAGCCAAGCCCTGGACACGCAAGATAGCTTAGTGCTTATTCAGCAAGGATCATGTCCTACCCATGCAACAATCAACTTCTCCATTCTCTTCCTATTTCTGTACCAACTATTTATTTCATAACCAACTTCTGCTTTCCGACATGATCACCATGGGAAAGATTTGCTGCAAACTGTCCTCAGTCTAGTTCCTGAATTAGTTCACGGATCACAACTTTAAAAAAAATCGAGTACATGCAATGTTGGTTTGAGATTTATTGCCAACTAGTATCCAGATGATTCTCATACAAGGCATAATTCATAACAACTTTAATCTCTGTGGTACATATAATTTATTGTATTATTTAATTGAGTCCAGGATTCAGCACATCCAACATTTTCCTCTCAGTTATGCTCATCTGGAACATCTGCAAACATTAAACTGTAGAAAGGAATATTAGAGCAGTTTTCCATTTTCTATCATTAGTGGACAGGCCATGTATTTTTCATTTTAAAATGATGAGGTTACACTGTGAAGTGACTGTTATGGAGACTCCTTTATTCTTTTTAAGATTGTGTTCTGCCATCTTTTGCTCAACCCACATCTCAAAGTACAACATTTAATTGTTAGATTTTATCCCATCTTTCATACAAGAATTCAAGATGGCATATGTCGAACTTGGTCTACTTTCCCCCAGATCAACTTGGTAAGTCACTGTGCTGGGCTGGGGGGAATGGCCTAGTCATCTAGTGATAACAATAGTTTGAACTTAGATTTCCCTGGTGCCAGTCCACTATGACATATGTGTAGCATACACATTAGATGGAATTGATGAGATCCTCAAAAAGAGAGAATGAAGGCATCTAAAACTAGAAACAGTTATCCTTCCTTTCTTTTGTCTCATCTCATACATTAATTTCTTTGGTTTATTATTTCTTACTCTTTTTCTGCATATCATTTCTTATTCCAAAAGAGATTATCATGATGAATATGAATGCATTTACTGCATTTATATACTAAGTCTTGAAAATAACTTTTCACTGCACATCAATGACACCCACAAACAACTTTCAACAGGCTGGGAAAGCTAAAATAATTGTTTTATTTGTCCAACACTTGATAATCTCCAATGGAAGTATTTCTTTCTAAAAATAACACATAGATCTACCATATTCCAAACCATATTTCAAAATTCCATGTTTTTGAAAGTCCTCTTGGTTTCAAAAATTATCTGTGATGTAGTAAAGATTAGTGAGGAGATTGCTTTTCTTATGCACAAATCTAATCTCATATTCTGTGCATAGAGATTAGGGAAGCAAATTAGATCCTTCTAATTTAACTAAGAAAGCATAATTTAAGGAAACCTGTTCTTCAGCTAAATTTTCAGAACCTGTTTCAAAATGTATTCTTCTACAATATATTTCCAAAAATGTTTTTAAGTTTTGAAGGAGTAACAATTTTTTAGTACCTTCCTTTGTCAATAATTCTACAAAATATTTTTGCAATCCATATATACTGGATGGCAAGCAGAATTTTAATCTTTAATTAGCTGTTTTTCGTACACAACCATAAACACATTCTTGGATATTGTAATTTATTGGGAGCAGGTCTCATGTTTGTATATTCATGTTTGCATATTCGTAATAGTGAGTTTTTACATTCATTTTCTGAAATTTCACTGGATTCTGGGAAAAATTAAAAATTTAACTGGATAATCCAGCAGCCTTTAAACTTTACTGAATTTGTATTTTGGAGTTCCAGAAAGCAAAGTAGTAAGTCATTCATTAAAACTTGCTTTAGCATATTCCTCTGAATTAGACTAGTATATCAAATCCTCTCAATTCCATGATAAGCAACTCATTCTTTAAGAGGGGGAACTTGAAGATGCAGTTTAATATTAGCCCCCATTTTCCACCAACTACCTGTTCATTTGCACTGTCTCCTGATACAATATAGTGCTCCCAAAGCACTTTCTCAATCCTCAGCTGCAATTTATGGATGACAGGGCATCGCAAAGCACCTCTACCTGGAGTTTGATTTCAGGTGGACACATCCATTATTCTGGCAACACCGCAAAAATGATTTGCCAATGCCATATTGAAGGATTTTGTTGTTATTGTTCAGTTTCTCAAACTAGTCTACAGTCCTGCAGTAGGATGGGATTTCTCATGACAGGAAGGGTAACTAGTTCTGATCTGGCTTCTGCTTATCATCATCATCATCATCATCATCATCATCATCATCATTACTTTTCTGAAATCATTCATGTTTACCAAGGTAGCTATCACTTAAGACAGGCAAGACTTCCACTGTCCCCATTTACTCACGTCTGACTTAAATCCCCATGTTACGTACATATATTGGTCAATTTCTGTAGTGATTTAATATAGAAGCAACATAACATACTGCGAGGGGAATAATTTGATCTTCAGCTTAAGCTCACATCCCGGAAGGAGAAGAAGAAGAGCCAATTTTATTCTGAAATAAAATTAAAAAAGAATTAAAAAGTGCACATTCAAAGTGATAATAAAGCTAAAGTTATTCTAGTATTATAGTTATTCTTCTTCTAGTTAAATGGCGCCCAAATCAGACCATCCCCTGCCTGAGGCAGCTGACCCTGATCTCCAGCTTCCAGGAAGCAGACGCTGCCCCGCCTCGCCCCGCCCCCCCTTGACACCGCCCAAACGGCACGCGCCCCACTCACTGCACGGGGCTGCCCGTTGTTGCTGCCACCGTTGATAACCGCCCTACGCACGCAGGCACGCATCGGCCGGCCGGCCTACCGCTTTCAGGTCTCCGTTGCTAGGCTACCGGTCCCGCCCCTCTCCTTCTCTCTCTCCCCACCCCGCCGCAGTCTCAACGGAAGCAGGTCGTTTGGCGCCTCAAGAGCGAAGGGCGGGGCTGGAAAAGCCCGGGCTGGGAGGCTGAGCGCGAGGACGCGCGCCTTCTCGAGGGGTTTCTCTCGGAAAGTTCGTACTTCCACGTCGGCAGACCACGTGCCGAAGGCGCACGCGGGCTCGCCTCAGGAGAGGCGCTGCCCTCGCGCGAGGTGTGTGTATGACATTGTGTGACACTGTGACATTGGATGTGTCGCTGGAGAACTGCGGCATGCCCGCCCGAAACATTTGTGGTCCTCAGCAGAGTGTTGATGGCGTGCTCTGTTTAATTTAGTAAATTAACCCAGTTTTGTACATTTTCACGACGCGGAGCCATAAACTAATCCTGGAAGCTGGGTGTGCCCAGTGGGTTAAAAAAAAAAAAAGGACAACAACTAGCCAAGGGCTTCCCTGAATCCAAAAAAGAACATGAAATCAATAAGCTGCAATTCAGAACGCTGTGGAAATGCAGCCAGCATCTCTGAAGGAATGAAGAAAGTGTTTCGACATTACACTTTACATCCCCCCCACCACCGCCAAGCAGCAAGAGGCAGGCGTATCCCGCCAAAAGTTTGGTAGTCGGCTGCAGACTTTAGTATGAATTATGTAAATGTCCCAAAGGTGCTTTTTCAAAAGGTGACCTGGATGATTGAGAATCTCCATAGACAGCTCTGTAAATGAAAGCTTTGCTGCGAACACCCCCCCCTAGGTAGGTAGTTGGGATTCAGGGAAGCCTTTATACAGAATGCACAGGAATGCTTCTGTATGCACACACAAGCAGGGATGTTTTCTCCCCCATGCCAAAGTGCAACATCTGAAGTGTTGCGGCTGCTTATGCAGTGAACTGTGGAAGACTGGGCTCTTGACTGCCAAAATTATTTTGGTCAGACTGCACACAGTAGTAAACAATGGTGAGTTTCTACACAGTATGCTGAGCTTAAGTGTGGCTGGCTACTTTGTGGCTCAGTCTGTTGTGTGAACTAAGTCACTGGTTTTGGTTCTGTAAATCAACCCAAGCATTGGGATTAGTATTAGTGCACATACAAGTAGTCCTCAATTTATGACCATTTGTTTAGTGACTGGTTACAACAGCACTGTAAAAGTGACTTCAAATCATTTTTCACACTTAAGACCATTGCAGCACCCCTATGGTTGTGAGTGGGAGGACTAGCTGTACTTAGTGAAGAATGGATGTTCCTGAACAGAGCTGACCAGTACATCTGACAATAGCATAATATATTACATTGGGCAGCTAATTTTTTAAATTAATTTTTTTAAAATCAATTTTATGGTATTAACTTTCTATTAGTTACATTAGTGCTTAATAAACCGTGTTGTCTGGGTATACAGTTTTCTTAACAATACAGATGCCATTTTTACTCTTCCTCCTTTTTTTCCAACCATTGGTAAAATAAATTCCATGTTTGATAATATTCTGTGTCTTCTTTAATTTTCAATGTAAGTCTGTCTATTTCTGCACAGTCTAATATATTCTTATCTCTTCATCTTTCCAATATTGTGTGAAAATAATACTCTCTGCTGGATGTTCCTGAACAGAGCTGATCAGTACACCTGACAATATCATAATATATTACATCAGGCAGCTAAGGTTTTGACATGATTGATACAAACAGAATATTGCTTAGCTTCAAAGCAGCATAGCAAATTGATTAGAATTTTAAGAGAATATAATGAGGGCTCTTCCCACTACAATTGATACCAATGACATATAATTTCAATGATATTTTGATTGCCAAATCTGGGAATAACTGCTCCAGTTTAGCTTGTGTACAGTACAGGGATGGGGGCATATGGATGAATACTAGAGTATTCAGAATTTTATATAAGACTTCATTCATATTCATTAGAATATTAGCTTTTGGAAACAGAAATGAATGTATTAATATATGCTAATTAGATGCAGCCACATAAGTATGGAACAAAGTCCTTTGAAATTGTTACAGCATTCAGCAGTTCCTCATGTTTGGTTTTGTATGTTGTAATACTGATCCTGCCAGACTTTTACACCAATCATCTGTTGGAATATTACAAAACCACAAAATATGTACTCCATGTTTGATTTTGGTCAGACAAAGCCATCTAAAAGTTTGTAAGAGAATGTATCAGCAACGTTGTTCATAATATAACTGTAGTTATATGAATTTATTTATTTATTTATTTTATTAGATTTTTATACCGTCCTTCTCCCATAGGACTCAGGGCGGTGAACAGCCAAGAATAAAAACATCACATACAAAATTTAAAATTTTAAAAAAGAATTAAACAAAATTTTGGCCCAATAAATTTAAAACACCCCAACTAAAATCCATTTACAATTAAAAATATACCATTATTATGATATAATAATCTTATAACTTTATAGTTATATATTTTATTTATATTTATACTTCATAATTAACTTCATGTATTCATAAATAAAATTGTGAATTTATAATGTTTTACTTTTTTGTATTTTTACTTGCTGTTAATATTTCTTATTTGAGGGTTTCATGATTGTTCCTTGTCTCTATAGGTATTTTAATATATAGTACCATGGGTATTTAAAATGTTTTGCGCTATTATATACTATGTAAGTCACCAAGGGTTGACAGATATAGAACAGGTGAGTGCATATTATTTCTAACAGCAGAAAAAATATCAAATTAAATCATCTTGTAATATTGCAAGCAATATATTCAGTATTCTTAGAATGCATAGTTAAACAAGTCTCTTCATTAAAAAATTGTTCCTTGTGATATACATCCAGAAACAGAAAGCAAGAGATTTTATGTTCACATTAAAACAATAATATTTTAAATTGAGTTTGCTGAATTACTACAATGTGATACATAGGAAAAAAAGACAAAACCTCCATTCTTGGAGCTACTAAAACAACTGATATACAGGTAGTCCTTACAACCACAATTGAGCCCAAGATTCCTGTTGCTAAGCATTTATTAAGTGAATTTTGCCCCATTTAAACAAACTTTCTTGCCACAGTTGTTAAGTGAAAAACTGCAGTAGTTAAATTAGTAACAGGTTTGTTAAGTGAATCTGGCTCCCCCATTGACTTTGCTTAAGAAGGTTGTGAAAGGGGATCACATGATCCCAGGAACACGGTGACAGTCATAAATATGAATCAGTTCCCAAGTGTTTGAATTTTGATCACATCAGCATGGGAATGCTGTAACGGTATGAAAAACGGTCATAAGTCACTTTTTTCAATGCTGTTGTAACTTTGAATGGTCACTAAATGAACTGTTGTAAGTTGAGGACTACCTGTACAACATAATACCTTTCCTGAATGGTTCAGTTTTTAAGCAAGCAAGAATTAAGAGTCAGTGAAGGTATCTTATTTGCTTTAGCCTAGGAGTGGCAAGTGGCAAGAGGCAAGAAAAGCAGCTTCTGTTATTTACAATTCTGTAGAGATTGATGTGCAATTATTTGTTAATATGAAAGAAAATGTTAAGGGAAAGAGGAATACGTTGCTCTGATTTTGGTACTAAGGTTTGGCTACTAAATTATGTTATTTATTTAAGTATCTTGTAGGTAATACTATTGTTTTTGCATTATTTGCCTTGATTTGAAAATTTAAGTATCTGTAGATGTAAGTCCAGCAAGGCTGTATACATCTAGCCCCACATCATGAGAAAGGCGGGACTAGATGAATCAAAAGTTGGAGTTAAGATTGCCGGGAGAAATATCAACAACCTCAGATATGCAGATGATACCACTCTAATGGCAGAAAGCGAAGAGGAACTAAAGAGCCTCTTGATCCGGGTGAAGAAGGAGAGTGCAAAAGTTGGCTTGAAACTCATTAAGAAAACTAAGATCATGGCATCCAGCCCTCTGAATTCCTGGCAAATAGATGGGGAAGAAATGGAGGTAGTGACAGATTTTATTTTCCTGGGCTCCAAGATCACCGTAGATGGGGACTGCAGCCAAGAAATTAAAAGACGCTTGCTCCTGGGAAGGAAAGCTATGGCAAATCTAGACAGCATATTAAAAAGCAGAGACATCACCCTGCCAAGAAAAGTGCGTAGTCAAGGCTATGGTTTTTCCAGTTGTAAAGTATGGCTGTGAAAGTTGGACCATAAGAAAGGCTGAGCGCCAAAGAATTGAGGCCTTTGAACTATAGTGCTGGAGAAGACTCCTGCAAGTCCCTTGGACTGCAAGGTGATCAAACTGGTCAGTACTAGAGGAGATCAACCCTGACTGCTCTTTAGATCCTGAAGATGAAACTCAAATACTTTGGCTACCTAATGAGAAGGAAGGACTCACTGGAGAAATGCCTAATGCTGGGAAAGACTGAGGGCAAAAGAAGGGGACGACAGAGAATGAGGTGGCTGGATGGAGTCACTGAAGCAGTAGGTGTGAGCTTAAATGGACTCCAGAGGATGGTAGAGGACAGGAAGGCCTGGAGGAACATTGTCCATGGGATCACGATAGGTCGGACACGATTTCACAACTAACAATAACAAGATATAAGTAGTTGGATAAAAAATAATGCAAACAAATTTAATGCCAGTAAGTTTTAAAAGTCAAAAAAGATTGGTGAATTTTTCTGTTGGCTAGAGGTTGGCCTTCAAATAAGCTTGCTTCAGTCATTTTGGCTGGAATTGGAGATTTTTTCCATTTGTCGTGTCATTGTGCAATCTCAAAGTTACTTTTAAAGAGAAGGAAAACTTGAGAAATTTTGCTCAACACAGGCAAGGCTTCTAGGTAGGTAGAAAT